AAAACGTACGGTTATTTATGATGCGACGGCGTTTGGGTGGAGGTTCAATGATGTTTCTGGCTTCGGTGGGAGGTTCCCGGTTAACGGAGAAACGACAGTATGGGCATGAAGTAGAACCATGAACTGAAATGAAAATAATATATATAAATTGACTGTCTGTATGTATGTATGTGTGTTTCGGATATATATTTTCTTTGAAAGTTTATTGAATGTGCGAGAAAAAGAGGTACTTACGATTTGCACAATAGAGTTGCCCACAGCTGGTACAGGTTACGTCAAAATGTCCAGGCGGTGTAGGCCCGTTGCATCCTATACAGTATAGTCTGCATTCTTGAAGAGCGTTGATGGACATTTCACCTAGGCATGTTAAACATCGTGTTTGACACACATGAACGATTTCGTTGTTGATAGGAGACAGGCACAGAGGACACACTGACATGATGATATGACTAGGCTAGGGGAACCTTGTGAACAGGATGAAGATTGAATGTAGACTGAAAGTGTAGGCCTCTGAGACTTTGGCGATCTGAGGGGGCCCCTGAATGAGCGTAATAACGATAGTGTGCCCCTGAGTGAGCGTTTGGCTGTTTTATTAATAGCGAGAATGATTGGCGAATACTGGGAATAAACTCTTTTATTATAAATTGTGTAAACTATGAATTAGATGACTAAATAAATTATAAATAAATAAATAAGTTTTATTAACGCTTAATGTATATATATATAAATTATTACGGTGGCGAACGCCGACAATGACTGGTAGATGTCTGGGGCAGGTAATCAGGTGATGATTGCCTCGGGCAGATAGCCTGGGGCAGGTAGCTGGGGCCAGCTTAGATAGTCTCTGAGGCAGTTTCAGTATTAAAGGTTACATTGAGATGCTTCGGTTGATTTGTATAAAACTGACTGGTTAATGAAAAAGGAATAAAACATTAGTATGTCAGAAAATAGGAAGAGGGAATAATATGAAGAGGAGAGAGAGAGAGGAGGGAGCGAGAGAGAGAGGAGGGACGGTCCAGATACTATGGATAAGATAAGATTAAGAGCCGACTGGCTGTCTGGGCGTAAAGTAAATAAAGGTGACGCGAGAGATTGCGAGGTAAGGGGGGAGGGAGGGAGGGGGGTGTGAGGTACGAGACTTGAAAACCATGACTTACACAGGTGATTTTCTAAATTTATATGAATAACTAAGGCTTACATAGACGATTTTGTAAGTTGAAAACATGTAAAATATGTCCGTAGAGTTCTCCTGGAAGCCCTAAAGTGCTACACACGTTATTTGAATTTCTCCCATAAGGCCTTAACAAACTTCTATGTCTCGGAAATTATTTTTCTCATAAGAACTTTAACAAACTCGTATGACATTATTTTTCGTTATAAGAAATCCTTACTTCCAAATCTGTGACTCCCCAAATTTACCTGAAAACCCTAAAGCGCTACAGGGGATTTTGCAAATTCACCTGAAACCCCCCAAGCGCTACACGGGATTTTTTCCCACAGAAAAAAAAAATCCCCTGTGGCGTGTCAAGTCCACAGGGGTCCTCGCCCCAAAAAAAAAAATCCCCTGTGGCGTGTCAACCCTACTACTCCTGGCGACGTAAACGGCAGACACCCCAAAACTACCAGAGGCCAGACGACACGTCTGTACCTCACGGCAGCTCCAGGTGCACTCATGTTTTGTTAATTGATGTGTATGTAAACAGTCAACCTTGTGATCCAATGGTGTGTGGTCTCTGTTCCATGAGGTGCGTTGTGAGTGTGGTCTTATCTACCGTGTGAGGTAGAGACGTCTACCTGTCTACTGTGTGAGGTAGGTAGAGACGTCTACCTGTCTACTGTGTTAGGTAGGTAGAGACGTCTACCTGGCTACCGTGTGAGGTAGAGACGTCTACCTGTCTACTGTGTGAGGTAGGTAGAGACGTCTACCTGGCTACCGTGTGAGGTAGGTAGAGACGTCTACCTGGCTACCGTGTGAGGTAGAGACGTCTACCTGTTTACTGTGTGAGGTAGGTAGAGACGTCTACCTGTCTACTGTGTGAGGTAAGTGAGAGAAGTAAAGGGGGTGAGGTACAAGGTGGGGGGGAGGCAAGCTGTTGTATTTGTTGACATGTTATTCTAATTACCGCGAGTGGCAGACACGGCTTGTTTATGGAACACTTCTCAGTCTCGACTCGTAATTAATCACCGTTGGTGGGGGGGGGGGGGGAGGTAGCGAAGACCACTCACCACATCTCACTTGTGATTAATGCAAGCCCCTTGTGATTAATGCAAGCCCCTTGTGATTAATACAAGCCCCTTGTGATTAATGCAAGCCCCTTGTGATTAATGCAAGCCCCTTGTGATTAATGCAAGCCCCTTGTGATTAATACAAGCCCCTTGTGATTAATACAAGACAAGCATTAAGCCAAACGTGAAAAATGAGAGGTTTTGATGGCCAAAGCGAAGACTGTTCAGCTACGAGAGGCGGCTGGTGGGCCACACATCAACCTTACAGAGAGGCACTGGAAGAACAAGGTGTGGAAGCCGCCTCCAGCCACAACTTTAAGGTCACACGCGACAAAGAACTTCAGCGCCCAAGTTGTTAAGTTGTAACACAACAGGAACATCGAGGCTGGCAGGCGAGGCGTAATAACTGCCTCCTCTACTTTACCTCATAATGTCAATACAAAAATCGTAATACAGCATTAAATTTTCTGATACAAAGATTTGAGTAGAAGGGGGGGGGGGTGAGGGTGAGGTGGGGGGGCGTGAGGGTAAGGGGGGAGGTGGGGGGTGTGAGGGTGAGGAGGGGGGGGGGGGCGTGTGGGTGAGGGGGCGTGAGTGACACCAGCGTGAATTGAGCTAGAGAACGTCAACAAACATGTCTGCTTCACTTACCGCTCAGGTGGGGGGCGTGTGGGGGGTGATGGTAAGGAGGGGGGACTGGAGGGAAGTGGAATGGGGCTGTTAGCGGGGTCTTAAGGGGGGGGGGATACAGGAGGTCTCAGCATGGTTGTGGTCTTTGTATGAACCAGCGAACTGTTGTGGTCTCATTGTGATGTACAACAGTGAACCAGCAGACTGTTGTGGTCTCACAGGGACATATAACGGTTAACCATTTGGTTCGATTTATAAAGAAGCCAGAGATGAACTAGATCAAATCTACACTGACGGGTCATCTAATCCTGTCAATGGCAGGGCTGGTGCAGCATACACGGTAATCAAGGATAATGCTTTCCAACGCAGAAATGAAGAAAAAGCACATATTGAGAACTATGTCTCTTCAACGCAAGCAGAGTTGACTGCCATTGTTATGGCGTTAAGATTCCTTGAATTAAACACTAATGGCGCAGTGATCTGCACTGACTCAAAAGCAGCGCCACAAAGTCTAAGTAAAAAACGGGCAGAAAATCTTGCAATAGTCGCTGAGATCAAGAGAGCTGTGAGAGTGCTACCCAACCAGGGATGAGTCGTCAAGTTCCTGTGGATCCCCTCCCATGTTGGGGAGCCCCTCCCATGTTGGGGAGCCCCCCTCCCATGTTGGGGAGCCCCTCCCATGTTGGGGCGCCCCATCCCATGTTGGGGATCCCCTCCCATGTTGGAATATGTGGGAGTGAACGAGCAGATGTGCTGAAGGCGCTGAAGGAGACCATATTGAATACTTCATACCCAAGACTCTACTACAAATTAGAGGTATTGTCAGGCAACATCACCGTGACAAGGTAACTGAGGAAAGGAGGATAGAAGCACAAACCAGTGAATCTGTACGATGGTACAACATGGTTGCTGCTGCCAATCCCAATCATTATGGACGAAGAGGAGGAGGACGAGGGAGAGAATCAGTAATAGCGAGAATCCGTCTTGGATACAAATATCCATGGAGATTAGGAATGGAAACATCAGTTGAGCAGCGGAGTTGCAGAATCTGTGGTGAGAGTGACGGACACCGCCTTGACCACTACCTGAGAGAATGTGAACACCTGAGAGACATCAGAAATATGTGTAGAATAATAAACCCCACATTGTTTGAGTTAAGAAAACACTATTTGTCAAATATTGAAACTGTTCTTAAAAGATTCCCCCATTTTGCACCCGCAAGATAACGTAAGATTTTTAGGGTTGATAGATGTTAATCTTCTTGATTGAGGAGCTGTTCACTTGAGACAGTTAAGCAAGTCCCAGCTGTGTGTGGGTACAAGTGACAGGATGAACAACCCAGCGGGTTTTCTTCCTACTGGGGAGTGTTGTACATGCTGCTATGACGGTGTGTCCACTCACAGGATGAGTGGCGCTGCCCAATACTGTCACTATGGCGGTGTGTCCACTCACAGGATGAGTGACGCTGTCCAATACTGTCACTATGGCGGTGTGTCCACTCACAGGATGAGTGACGCTGTCCAATACTGTCACTATGGCGGTGTGTCCACTCACAGGATGAGTGGCGCTGCCCAATACTGCCACTATGGCGGTGTGTCCATTCACAGGATGAGTGACACTGCCAATACTGTCACTATGGCGGTGTGTCCACTCACAGGATGAGTGGCGCTGCCCAATACTGTCACTATGGCGGTGTGTCCACTCACAGGATGAGTGACGCTGCCCAATACTGTCACTATGGCGGTGTGTCCACTCACAGGATGAGTGGCGCTGCTCAATACTGTCACTATGGCGGTGTGTTCACTCACAGGATGAGTGACGCTGCCCAATACTGTCACTATGGCGGTGTGTTCACTCACAGGATGAGTGACGCTGCCCAATACTGTCACTATGGCGGTGTGTTCACTCACAGGATGAGTGGCGCTGCCCAATAACCTCCCCCCTCGTGCCAAAATTTAACATTTTTAAATCAGAGCAGCATTACACTGTTGAGTTACCTACACAGGGAGTCAACCCCCCGCGGTGATGAACTAAATGCATCAAGCAAGCCATCACAGCCTGGTCACTCACCCTCTCATCAGATTATCAACACAAATACCTATTATCAGTGCTTGGTATATCTTGCTCAATACTAACCAGATATCCTAGATGAGAGATACTACGAATTCTACCCAGAGGACGTTGATGAGAGATACTTCGAACTCTACCCAGAGGACGTAGATGAGAGATACTACGAACTCTACCCAGAGGACGTAGATGAGAGATACTACGAACTCTACCCAGAGGACGTAGATGATAGATACTACGAACTCTACCCAGATAACGTAGATGAGAGATACTACGAACTCTACCCAGAGGACGTAGATGATACTGACAGCAGCAGGGCCATGAGAACAAAAGCTAAAAAGATGAAAAGAACAGTTAAGTAGACTACCACAAGAAGTTACGGTAGTATCAAATCTACCAGCAGGGTAGAAGATTCTACCCCGCTGGTTGATTCTACCATCTTCTCCAGGCTAGTAGTCTTCAGCTGTCCTTGCTTTCCCAGCTTGCCCATTTTTGGTCCTTGGTCTCATCTCCTCCGTTCCGTCCCGTAGCAGCAGCAGCAGCAGAAGCAGCGGTAGCAGTAATGACAGTAGTAGCTGAAGTAACAACAGTACCAGGAACAACAGTCGCAGTAGCAGCAGCAGCTGCAGTACAAGCAGCAGCAGGAGCGGCAACAGCAGCGGTAGCAGCAACAGGAGTAGTACCAATAGCAGCAGTAGCAAGAACAGCAGCAGCAGCGGCAGCAGGAGTCGTACCAATAGCGGCAGTAGCACCAACAGCAGCACCCGTAGCGACAGCAGCAAGAGTAGCAACAGCAGCAGTAGCAGCAGCAGCAGCAGCAGCAGCAGCAGCAGCAACAACAACATTGTAGTGTAAGGGGGCCACGCACGTGTTGGAGAAGTGCTACAAAACCAACACTTGGAGAGGTGGCCACAGAGGGCGGCAGTGTCCGCCCTCACCCGCCCGACCTCTCTATCGTCTCGCGCCTCCACTCTAAAGTCTACTCTCGCCATAACGAGAAAAAAGACCTTGGTAATAAAGGTTTATTTTGCTGCTCCCAGTCGCCACAAATTAAGACTTTTACAAATACATGTTTGAAGCCACAACAAACATTGGAGCGGATCGCCCAGGGCGGGGCGCGTGTTGGCCTCCGAGGCTCAACAACAAGCAATCCGTCGGTCGTGCCTTGTTAATTAGCCCCACACGACGACAGCAGCGAGTCTACCTCGCCAGCCACGCCATTAGGGCTGTTTATTGACTTTATGCGAATTTATCTTGTGTGTTCTTGTTCTAATTGGCTGTTTTATGTTTACTGCTAGGTGTGTTTAGTTAACAATTAGTTTTGTCAGGGACAGGCAGCCTTTGTGTGTGTGTATATATACATGATAGGCTTATATCGAGGTTCCCTCCACCTCCTACCAGGGTCGAACCCTCCGTAGTATACATCCCTACAAGGAGCTGAAGTAACTCCTGGGTACCCCCAGGAGTTACTTCAGGAGTTACCTAGTCGTTCCCTATATAGGCGAAAAAAACGAATCGCGGAACAACTTGAGAGTCGTACCTTATCTCAAGAACGGCGAAGAAGGTTAGGTAGAGAAATAGAAACAATTGAACTCAAGCTACAAGAATCATACAAAACCCAGGAGAGGCAAAGAGAGCAAAAGGCCATCAGTGAAATAGAGAGAAATCCGAAATATTTTTTCTCCTATGCAAAATCAAGATCAAAAACCACATCTAGTATCGGGCCCCTGCGAAAGGGAGATGGAACTTTCACCGATGACAAGAAAGAAATGAGCGAGTTACTGAGGAAGCAGTACGACTCTGTTTTCAGCGAGCCATTAAATGCACTAAAGATTGATAACCCAAATGAATTTTTCATGGATATGATACCAACATCAAATCATATATCAGACGTCGCCCTATCCCCACTAGATTTTGAAGAAGCCATAAACAGTATGCCTATGCACTCTGCACCAGGCCCTGATTCTTGGAACTCCATATTCATCAAGAACTTTAAAAACCACTATCGCAGGCCCTCCACATTCTGTGGAGACACAGCCTAGATACTGGCGTCATCCCCGACATACTAAAAACAGCAGAGATAGCACCACTCCATAAAGGAAGAAATAAGGCAGAGGCAAAAAATTACAGACCGATAGCACTAACATCGCACATTATAAAAAATTTTGAGTGTGCTAAGAAGTAAGATCACAAAATACATGGAATCACAGCATCTCCATAACCCCGGACAACATGGTTTCGGAACGGCGCTCTTGCCTGTCGCAGTTGCTGGACCACTATGATATGGCATTAGATGCTATGGAAGACAAACAAAACGCTGATGTAATTTACACAGATTTCGCAAAAGCTTTTGATAAATGTGACCATGGTGTTATTGCACATAAAATGCGTTCAAAAGGAATTACTGGAAAAATAGGCAGATGGACCTACAATTTCCTGACCAACAGAACCCAATGTGTAATAGTCAACAAAATAAAATCCAGCCCATCAACCGTGAAGAGCTCAGTCCCCCAGGGTACTGTGCTTGCTCCAGTACTTTTTCTCATCCTCATATCGGACATAGACAAGAACACAACCTATAGCACTGTATCATCCTTTGCAGATGACACTAGGATCTTCATGAGAGTAGGCAACATAGAGGACACGGCAAACCTCCAGTCAGATGTAGATCAGGTCTTTCTATGGGCTACAGAAAATAATATGGTGTTTAACGAAGTTCCAGCTCATGCGCTATGGAAAAAATGAAAATATAAAAACGGAAACCACGTACAAAACTCAGGCAAATCATAACATAGAACGAAAAGGCAATGTAAAGGATCTGGGTGTACTCATGTCGGAAGACCTTACCTCTAAAGAACACAATAAAGTAGCCGTCACAACTGCAAGAAAAATGACAGATTGGATAACAAGAACTTTTCACACTAGAGATGCTATACCGATGATGACACTTTTCAAAACGCTTGTGCTCTCTAGAGTGGAGTACTGCTGCACAATGACAGCCCCTTTCAAAGCTGGAGAAATTGCTGACCTGGAGAGCGTGCAGAGATCCTATACTGCTAGAATCCACTCGGTAAAACGCCTAAACTATTGGGACCGACTAAAGAGCCTAAATCTGTACTCCCTTGAGCGCAGGCGGGAGAGATATATAATAATTTACACGTGGAAAATGTTAGAGGGGCTGGTCCCAAACCTGCACACAGAAATAACATCACATGAGACCAGAAGGCATGGCAGGATGTGCAGAATACCCCCGTTGAAGAGCAGAGGTGCAACAGGTACTCTGAGAGAGAACTCTATCAACATCAGAGGCCCGAGACTGTTCAACACGCTTCCACTACACATAAGGGGCATAACTGGCCGACCCCTCACAGTGTTCAAGAGAGAACTATCAACATCAGAGGCCCGAGACTGTTCAACACGCTTCCACTACACATAAGGGGCATAACTGGCCGACCCCTCACAGTGTTCAAGAGAGAACTGGATAAGCATCTCCAAAGGATACCTGATCAACCAGGCTGTGACTCATACGTCAGGCTGCGAGCAGCTGCGTCCAACAGCCTGGTTGATCAGTCCAGCAACCTGGAGGCCTGGTCGACGACCGGGCCGCGGGGACGCTAAGCCCCGGAAGCACCTCAAGGTAACCTCAAGGTTAGGTACCCATTTACTGCTAAGGTGAGCAGAGGCATTAGGTGATAGGAAACGTTCTCAAGCGTTTCTGGCCGGGACTCGAATCCGGAATTCCTGATTATGAGTCGAGAATGAACCAAACTGTACTGTCAGTCAGTCCGGCCTACAAACAAAGACCCAAAGTCCATTCCATCCATCCGCCAACCCCCCAGGTGTTTATGAATAAAAAACTGTTTACACACGACTCACAACTGCTGACGTTCGAACACTTCCGGAACAAGTGCTTCACTGACGACTTGTGTTCGAACCACAACGCTGTAAATGCTTCACCCACGTACTACAAATAATCGCCAACAGAACCTAAACACCTAACCTAACCTATGCCTATATATGCACAATATGCTAATATATTATAATATTAATTTATACTTGAGAAAATTCCCGCTTTGAGTGAACAGCATGTAAAAGTTTATGAATGCGTGTGTGGGGTCGACCGCTGAATGGAATGGACTTGAGTGGAGGACGGGTTGTGTCAGGACCCTACACTACCTAATATACAGAAGTGGGTAACCAGCGGTGGCCATAGTCGAGCCGTTGCTCAGGTCGACTTGTGCAACATTTCGGCAAAAATAAACCCAAGAAAAATAATAATTAATAAATAATAAATGGGAACATATACGATATGTGTCTTTGTACATCAGTCTCTCTCGCATTTTGTCTATCTTTTGTCTCTGTGTTGTAGTTGTTTAAGATTCCCTACTTGGAACTTTTTGTTCCAGGTAGCACGGGCTATGGTGAGCCCGTAGGTTGTGTCTGTGTCATTTGTGTCCGGTGTGGTCACTATAAGACTGGCCGGTGGCCAGGCATTATACAGTAACAAGCCCTTTATCACCACCACATTATACTCCGTCATGTTGGAGAAGGCGACGAAGTGTATAATACACTGTCCCAGCCATCATGGAGAGGTGGGGGGTGGTCAAGTTGTAATGGTCCTACTGGCGCACTCACCTCACCATATATATCCTGCACCACAACACCTTGTAACCGCTCCAGTTACAGCGCCGCGCCTGTGACAGGTAAGTCCACTACGGGCTCACCATAGCCCGTGCTACCTGGAACTTTTTGTTCCCAGTAGCTGAATCTATAACAACAACAACCTTGTAACTATTTGAACTCTGCCTTTGATAATATTCACATGAATCAGCAAAATATCTCTTAGCATCCGGCCTTAATAGATAACTGGAGGCAGACACAAGAGCCGCACTCTGTTGGGTTTAGGGAGTTACGAGGGACAGTCCTGGTCCTCACCCCTTTATTATCAACAACTGCAGTTCTCAGACTCCCAGGACCCCATACCCACGGGGTCGCCGGCTGGCGGGAATGGCCACAACATTGTCAGCTCAATAAGAATAACAGGACTGGATCCCACATAACAATTAGTCATAGAGATTTAAGCTTGATCCAAACCATACACTCAGGCCCTGATAATACACTCGGGAGAGTGCGAAAAGCTTCGTGTATCTTCTTGAGGTTATCTTGAGATGATTTCGGGGCTTTAGTGTCCCCGCGGCCCGGTCCTCGACCAGGCCTCCACCCCCAGGAAGCAGCCCGTGACAGCTGACTAACTCTCAGGTACCTACTTACTGCTAGGTAACAGGGGCATTCAGGGTGAAAGAAACTTTGCCCATTTGTTTCTCCCTCGTGCG